ATTTATGGACAGAGCCGCCGTCTTAATAGAAATTAATGGTTTGGGCATGTGCCATATAATTGTCCTGTATGATATTTTCACGCAAGGAGAGCTGGACAGATGTAGTTAAAAATGATATTGGAAATTTTGGATTTGCACAGAAGAATAAGCGCGGAGGTTCACAGTCACATTCCCAGAGGTTTTTTCGATACCACACTGTAGGTAGAGGGATCTTATTGAGACACGTCACCTGTTTGGATCAGTTCGTGCTGTTGTCGTGTGTCCTTAGGCAAGACACTTTTGATGCTTGCTGTATAAGAAAAGAGGTGAGGACCACAAAAGCGTTTTCTAATGGTTTAATACAAACACACACACAGAGCTCTGGTTCTACTGCCTACTTACAACGACAGAAAGACTGAGGCTCAGGAACAGACAGTTTTTATACATCGGTGGATGAGAAATACAGTAGGCGTGAGGCTCATATCAAACAGAGATGAATACTTGGTCAGGTAACAACTGTAGACGTAAAAGTGCAGCGTGTAGGGGTGTAACAGTACATGTATTTGTGCTGAACCGTTTTGGTACAGGACGTTCGGTTCGGCTGTGCACAAATGCAAGAATTTGTGCAATTTGTGTGTATTTACATTCCGCCACTACCTGTGCATATACATGGAAGGCTTGGCTCTTTAAATATTCACGAGGGAACTCATCCGTGATTGGGGTGGCATAGTTAGGGCAGCCTCCTTGACAACAATTGCCCCACGCCTTGACTACGTCCCTCCGAACAACATGAATCCTTGCAAAACTACGGTCGTCAACTCCCTCATACCTCCCCTCAACCTAGTAACTACCCTAGTAAAAGGGTAGTTTCAACCGCTGGGGACATCGTAACTGCAGCAGATCTGCAATTACTGCAGAGAATGTGAACAAGTTGGTTCTGGACAAAAATATGAAGACTGACTTCATGCTGTGCTTTACTTTTTGAAAAGTTTTGTTTACCGTTTACAAGGAATTTATTTTCTTATTATTTCTCTGTTTTCTCCTGGTCTCCTGGAGAGCGAGTGTGAGGTATGAGCAGGCCAGGCGGATACTCAGGGGCCATACCATGAAGACATTTAAAAGCAAATAAAATCATTTTATAATCAATGCAAAAGTGCATGGGAGCCAGTGAAGAGACTGAAGGATGGGTGATTCTGTATACGGCCAAATTTACATGATCCAGTTAAAAGGCAAACGGCTGCTTTTTGCACTCACTCTAATCTAAACGAGAGGTAATGAAAGCATGGATTAAAATTTTAAAGTTGTGACGACAGCATTCAGAACAAAATATGTACCTTCTTTTACCTGAGATAAGAAATTGTTTGGTGCTTCAGTTGTTGACTCTAAGAAAATCCACAGTTTTTTATGTTGTTTTTTATCCTTTTTAGGTGTGTTTTTGACACAAATGGAGCATGCGTCTCTCTCTGATTAATCAATCTGTCAATCAATCGCACTCTCTGAAATCAGGGAGACATTATCTGGCTCCAGATCCACTCGTCTTTGTGAGGTTTTGTCAAAGTGTGTAAGTGTAAGTCTAGTTTATCAGGTAAGTGAACAACACTGTAAAGGAACAACGATAAAAACATGAGTATTATTATCATGTTTTACTTGTTACACAGGTTGGGTTGCAGCCCGTTACTACTATACCAGTAAACATCCATTTATTAGTGTCCTTTGAAAGAAAGAAATACATAACTAAAACCAAAATGGCCGTCTCCTTCTCTTCTTTAGAACCCCGCACTCATCCATCACTCCCCCTCACATGCACAGCCCTGTCAGTCCTTTCATAGTCACATTATGATGCATGCGTTTCCCCCATTCTTCAAACCGTGAGCGGGAGCTGTAAACGGGGGCCCGGCCTGTTGCTGGGGGCCTCCCTGGTGAGCCCTGTGCTTCTTTAACATAATGGGTTTTTAAGAGTGCGCGCGTGTTAATATAAGCGCCGTGCACTGACCCCGCGTCTCTCTGTGCCTGAACCTCCATTCGCGCCTGTTCAGCCTCATTAGCCCGCTATTTATCACTAAGCTCATATGCACAGGCTAATGGCACGCGGAAACAGCTGCGGCAGAAATCACTGAATCATTCACTGGGGCTATTTCTGGAACACATTTATCAAACTGCTCAAAACGGAGCTGAAATGCCATGGAAATCTTAAGGGAGTCTTCACTGTGGACATATTTATATATTGTTGTCTTGGCTTGTGAAGGATTTTCTTTGGGGTTTTCGGAACTTCGAGTGATCGTTCTCCAAATGGGATCTTCTGAAATCGTGCATGAACTGACTTTTACCCAAATGTGCAGACAAAAAAACAAAACAAAAACGTGTCCAGTTGATACTTCGTAGTACAAAACTAAAAACTAAAGTGGTTTATCAGAGTGATTGGGGCGTAATGTCTTTAAACGACGCCGTAATTTATTTGGCTTCATCCTGTCCACTGCCAACATTTTTAAACACAGTAAACACAGCGGTCTTTCCTTGTTTCCCACCGCAGTCACAGTGAAGCCAAGTGCTACATACATTTTATATACAGTTTGTCCTCTGCACTTCATATCTCCTGCTCTGTGCTGTGTGTGCGTTTGCTCAGTGCAAAAAACTCACTATAGCTCTAATATTCCCTGCACACACTCTGACAATGAAAGCGTCACTGCCAACTACTGTAGAGGATGTGCAATTACGCTTTATTCTAGTACGGCCAAAAAAAAAAAAAAAAAAGCATCTTTGCCTCTCCAAGCCAACAGTTTTTCAGTCACTTTTTTGTTGAAAATAAAACACCTAAAATCAAATCAAACACCTACACAGGACCATGAACGCCCGTATTGATCGCAGGCTCGTGAAAAGGTCTTAGGCTACGTTCAGACTGCAGGGCTTAACGCTCAATTCCAATTTTTTTGTGAAATCCGATGTTTTTGCGAGGTCGTTCACATTTCCAATTAAATGCGACTTGTCTGTGACTTCAGTGTGAACGGTAAACGGCCCGAAAGTGTCCCGCATGCGCACTGGAGACACGATGACATTAACCCCATGCGTCAACCGCAGCGAGCGTGCTCTGTGTTTACGGAAGTTGTCCAAATATGGTCGCGAGCATTGAGCACCTGGCGATTTTACAGTTCCGGTTTCCGCCTGCTTCAGCACAGAATAGTGACGTTTGTCGCTTGTTAATGATGTGTAGGTCGGATGAATGCACTTTGGCCGTTCAGACTGGAGTCGCATGTCAAAAGATCAGATATGTATCGGATTCAGGACCACATATCCAAGTGGCCTGGGTCGCATTTGAAAAATTCGGATCTGTGAAGTTCAGACTGTCATTAAAAGATCAGATACAGGTCACATAGAAGACAAAAAATCGGATTTGGGTCACTTCAGGCTGCAGTCTGAACGCAGCCTTAGTTAAATCCATTTGTGTATTTTTTTTCTTGTGTTCAGACTATCGTACAACCTTTTTGTCAATGTTTGCTAGGGCTGTATCATTAAGAAGTTGCTGATACCATACATGTTGTTGAAGTTTTAAGCTTGTCCAAGAAAGGGTGGAAGTAAAAGGCTGAAGACCAGCTGGATGTCTTAAGCAAGAGAAGTTTATTTCCCATCAATAATACAGGCCCGGGGGGACTTGAAAAGTCAACATAGTATGATTTAAAAAGTGAACATAGTTTGATCTTTGAGTGTTCAAGCCGCTTTACTATGCTTCCAGAGGAAGAGGTTTATAAGGCAAGTGTAGTGAGACGATGAAGGCCAGTAGACACCGGTTAGGCAGCAGTATGCCACATTTTAGATAGCTGTATGCCAATGGTATGCCAAGAGAAGATCATGGTGTAAATATAGCTTTTGTAAGTCAATGTTAAACTGAGATGTAGGTGGAAGATAAATTCTCTTACAATACATAACTCGGTACAGTGAGCTCTCGATTCAATATGGTTCAATAAAAAATAATATGTAAATCATGGTTGTGATACTAAGTCTTTGTTAAACTACTTCTTGTGCAAAGTTCATATGAAACACAAACATTTTAATCATCAAAACAGCGAAAATGTCAAATGTGTCGCATAAACTAGTTTCCTTTCTCTAAACAAGCAACAAAACTGTAGCGCTGTAACAAAATAATTTAGTAAAATATACAAAAAAATACTCAGCCTACGCTATCAATACTGTATCTTCACATTAAACGATATGATATATCGATATTTTTATATTTTTGCACACTCCTAGTATTTGCTAATGTGCTCATTGTGTCACCATGGTAACTAACGAACATACCGCCAATAGAGATACATGTAGTACACCCTCAGCATGATGTCTCTGTAAAATATCAATAGTCCAATGTAAAGCTGCACTATTTCACTTTTCTTAGTTACAGTCATCTGCTTTTCTCCATGTAAATGTTATTGCTGTGCATTTGTTCCACTGTGTGACATTAAAGCAAACATATTATGCAAAATTGCCTCCTTTGAGCTTTTAACCATGTTACAGTTGTTTCCCCACACCATTTACTCACTCAAAGATGTTATTTAGAATGATTTGTGCATGCTTTTTAAATTTTCTTCTATTCAAAACGTCATTGGTCCCATCAACTCCATCTTTTATCAACTCTATTATAAGCTGACTGTTTTTTGGATGAATATTGTGATTTAAAATGTCAAAATTTTTACATAATGGTCCACGAGTGTCATAAATTATAACTACAGAACAAAATAATATGTTTTCTCTAAATATTTTACTATGTATCTTGCATTCATTTAATCACAGATGTTTTTATTGCTCAAAAATACCATAAGTTTGCATTCTTACTGTGAGGAATAATGTCTTTCCACCTGTAGCTTGGTCTAGCAGGGTCATCCGTTTGTCTCGATGAAGACAGAACAGTTTAATGCCAAAATGTGGCCTTCTGTACATTTATCCAAGGACTAGAGCTGGAAACTGTCCTCTTGGCCAACTCTCAAATCTCCAATTACTAAATTGTGTAATCATTATTCCTGGACAGGTCTTACCTTATAAAGCAGAGGAGCCCGGCCCAGCTTCATGACTGCGATCCGATTGGTTAGATTCAAGTCCTGTTTGACCTTCCTCAGATCCTCCACACTGCCGTACTGTACATCCACCACTCCACCCTGGAAACACAAAAATAGAATTTTACTGATGAATTTCACAGTAACAAGCAGTGAATTTTCATTTGAGAGTGAAAAAAAAAAAGCAATTAAGTTCAGAGCTGTGGGCGGGGATAGGTGACGGGTGCAAACAGAGATTTTCAGTTGCATCCTAAACAAAACACAACTAAAACATTTATTATCAAGTACATCAGTTATAATTAAAAAGTTACAAATGACAGAATCGTCTAGTTTAATCTCTCAAACGAAGGTATAAAGTGAAATTTCTTCACTTTTTTGTTTTATTCATCGTTAAAACATTGTCTGTTATTGAGATTAGGTGTCTGATTGTCAACAAAAAGGCGAGAGCGACTAACTGAATCTGCAGATGTCTGATGCTAGTTAGATTGTTCATTTTATTTGCGAGGGACTTGTTTAACACATTTTCAAATCAGCTCACCTGTTTTGAGTAAATCAGTTCTTTTTGTTCAGATTTGATTAAAACAAAGCTCAGAGTAAATTTAAGTGAGTTGACTCTTGCTCTAAACTTTCTTGAGTAATAGTTCTTCAGACAGAGCAGGGCGTCCAGTTAGCTCAACCTCAATATTGATGACATCGGCTGCAAACTATCAGTCACAGTTTGATGACAGAAATTAATCCATTGGCCTATTCAAATACTGACCACAGGTAATATCCCAACAAAACAAGTAATCAATTGAAAAACGTGAAAACCTGTCATTTGCACTTAAAATGAAAACTATTTTATTTGATTTTTTTTTTGTTTTTTGGTCAGTTTGGTGTCTTTGCATATAAACTTTCATGTGGAAACAATAAAACTCCACTCTGCAGCAAAGATGTTTAGTATTTAATTTAATCAGCTTGTGTATACAGTTTGTTTGTATGTATGTGACATTGTAACTTCAATGGCCGATTTCTCAAAATGCATTTTCTCCCCTTAAAGTGGCATCTGCACACACCAAGCTTTATAATTTTTGACTTAACAAGATTTTGAGAAAACATACAGAAGGATTTTTTTATATCTAAATCCATAGATATATCTTAATTCAAAAAAAAAAAAAAAAAAAAAGGTGAAATTTTTATGCAGATTTTCAGCTAAATGCTAAATATTTTATCCAATATTTTTTTGCTATATATATATATAAATAACAGTTAATATATATCGAATGACAAGTTACTTTGCTTAAATGCATGGTTTTATAGTAGCAACAGCTTATAAATATAGGGAACTACATATCCCATGATTAATTTCAGTGCAAACAACATGAAGAAATATGTTTTTTACTTGAATTCTTGGGATTATGACATAAATAATTCACACCAAAATCGTGTCAAGGTATTTTAAAAGCAAAAAAAGTGTCCTATCTTCAATTATATAAGCCTCTCCAAAATATCGCAATACTGTACCGTGAGATTTGGCGTTACATCCCTAGTTATTACACATAAAACGACACATTTTCATATGCAAACATTACATCATGAAAAAACTTGTAATACATTTTTTTCTTACATTTATGTGACTAAACAACAGAAGTAGTTTCAAATTGATATCTGTAATTTAAGATTTTTTTCCTATTAACCTACAGTGTCTCACCTTAGTTCCTATATTATGCAAATATGACTCTTCTGAGTGATATGCCATGTTAAAATGCTATTACCTTCTCAAAAACAAACCCAGAATTGTGTTTTGTTTCATTCACATATATTTGAGAAATCCCACATTAATAGTCTGTTTACATCAAAGCTCAAAATACTCCAAATGTTCCACCTTGTGATGTCATGAAGTTGTAGTTTTCAAGTTAACAGCTACTTTTTACCTTTAGTTCAGCAGAGATTGGCAATTCCAGGTCTAAAATCATCCAAATGATTCTAATGAAGGTGTATGGAGTTTAAAAACACAGCGACGCAATTCTAGCCTGATTGATCGGCTCGTTTTACTTCGTACAAACCGTCTGATCTCGCAGCTTTAGATTTTGTTCGCTCAACGGTAGGTGGTTACTTTTTATCATTTAACCAGTCATTGACAACACTGAATATATCACTCTTCGCTGATTGGCTGGTGCCAAAACTTGCACGTCCGGGGTTTTTGCGAACCATCTATTGTATTTTGATTCCCAAACTAGTCACTGGAGAGAAATGAAATTGAGCGGAGGCACTAGGTGGCACCAGCCTGGCTAAAAATTATGCTAGTGGAATAAGACTTTTTGTACTTAAAACACGAAAATACATCTTGCAACACTTAAAATAAAGAAAAACAACAACTTTTTGCACTTAAAATAGGAAACTAAATCGAATGTCACTGGGTGGTGCCAGCTTGGCTAGAGCACTTCCTGTATTACCACATGCCATTGTTTCGAGATTGTTTTCCATTTTAAAGATATAGGTTTTGTGTGTTAAAAATGTATAAATGAAACAAAACACAACTCCAGGTCTGTTTGTGATGAGGAAACATTACTAGTACATAACATAAATTAGAAAATAGTGCAATTTAGACCCTTTAAATACATATATCTCCTTTAAGATGATGTGCACATTTCCTCCGTAGCATCCCTCACCGCTTTTACACCGACCACCGCCGAAGACGTATGGCGCTCGGATAGGTCTTTATATGAAATCAGCATAATCCTCCCGTCAGCTCTTTTCTCCACAGACGCGACCATACATCACCTGCACAGTGGACATATGTACTCCAACGGGTTCAGCTCACCGCCGACCCCAGACGCCGCCATTTGCATATTAATAAGCACATTTCCATAGAACTTCATTATAACGGAGAAATATTAACACACTCCATGATTTATGTACAGTTCCGGCTTTCTAAATACAACTAATCACCTTAATTACACATCTTATATTTCACATAAATTAGCTGATTGGAGATTATGCAAGCTTAAGGGACTAGTTCATTTCAAGCCGTATGCCTGCGCACACTCGGCGATGCTCTGAATACATTTTTATATTGGAAAAATTGGAACTCGGCGCATAATGACATGTGATTTATAAATATTGTAAAGAAATCTAATTAATGGGGCGTTTAGCAGCGGGGTGAAAAGCAAAAACTCGATTTGTGGATATTGTCAAAACAACTTGTCATGAATAAGTAAAGCTAAAAAGTGAAATGTAGCTGTGAATAATACATGAGGCAATCACTGCGCTATTAAGTGCATGGAACGTGTTTGATTCATTATATATTGTGCATAATTTGGGGGCATATGGTGTTCTCAAAAGACAGCCTTCGTTATTTAATCTTCATGGAGGCTAAGTAGCTGTGTTTAAACGGTTTCGTTTTAGTCGCCGTTGCACTCAGAGGTCCTCTATCGGATTTATTCTTCCCATTTATTTGAGCAAAACCTGCCTTTCCTCAGTACAGAAACAGAAAACTGTATCAGCAGCTCTTGAGGTAAAAAATAAGTCAGCTGCATCCAATTATCTGCATTTTATTGTCTGATAATCAGGAAGTTCGTGTTCACATGCTAGTTGTTATTGTTGATGATGATTAGTTTATTTTAGATGTTTCCATAAACAAAAAATTGCATTATCATACAGTAAATGATAAATTGCAAATGCACTAACCAACAGATACATAAAGACTATTATTTTACATTGCTCATCACAACTATAATATCCACAAATAGAAGTAAAATGAAAAAAAAAAAAAAAAGCAATTGTTCCGAAAAGGAGTGGGGAGAAACAATCCCACTAAAGCAATAATGTGCTTCTGCTAGACTCTTATAGTACGTCACATTACTCCCGATACAAAAATAAATTTAGCGTAGTTTATATTCAGATAACAATAAAATTAAATTCATTCTTGAGCATACCTAGCTATAATCAATTCTTTACATTTTCATATTTGATCATTTTTGGAGCTCATCACTCAGAGTTCCAGCTTTTGACCCCACAAACTGAAATACAGAAACTTTTTCTTGATGTACAGACTCTGGGCATTTTAAAAGAGATGAATTCACCTTAAATTAGTTGTCTCCCTTTCCCTAAAAAGTTTCTGAATATGTTTGGTAGTTCCTTCCTTTCTGCCTTGTACATTATTTTTGCTGTCTGGAAGCTTATCAAATCCTTAAGTTTAAAAATTTTGGAAGTTATTTGTGCCATCAGTCAAAACTCCGCACTGGTCTCAGAGAGTTGTGAAAAGTGCTTATAAACTCATTGTGGTGAATAATTAAGATGTTCAGAATGAATAAGGTATTTGAGGAATAACTTTGGACCAGTGTTTATGAACGAGTTCTGTTTTCCACATTTTTAAGAGAGTAAAAAACAGATACAGCACTTTTTACCATACACAGGAACAACACTGGGTGTGTTCACACTAAAACTGGAACTGTACCAGGACTAGAACATCACCAAGTCTACATCAAGACTAAACAAGGCTCAGAGCAAAACCAAACGCCAAGACAATTTCCATAAACAGACTCATTTCTAGGGAAATAGCACCCAAAACCTCCTAGCTGAGTTTACAATTGTGCTTGTCTTGAAAACAATGTTCTCTGTAGTTTCAACTCTGTATTCAATTCCAAATTTCACAGTTTTAATGCAAAATAATACTAATTTTAAAGTGGTGGCCAAACCTCCTTGTCAAAGAGAAGTTATGATGTTGGGTGGGGCAGATGGAGCAGATTGGAAGCCTCGCTTGCATCAGTTTGCCTCAGTGCGGCTGTGGCTACAAAAGTATCTTACCACCATCGAGTGTGGAAGCATAAATACTGTACAGAATTGCAAAGCGCCTTTGAGCATCTGGAAAAAGTGCTGTATAAGGCTAATGCATTATTATTATCATTAACATGATAGATCTCCACTGAGGGAGGAAAGTGTGCCCACCTGTGCTTCTGAAAAAACAACAGTTTAATGATAGAAACTTTAAACAATGTATATGTTTTCTATTGTGACTAAAATAGGATTCTTTCACATAAACATATCCAACGTTCCATAGGCTACTCATCTAAATACTGGTGGAAAAAACTTTGGATTTTTCACATTTACCATGAAAAACACATGATGAGTAAGTTTTATCCAGAAACAGGCACACTGCTCATTTTGAGAAGCTCTGCTGTAATGAAATCTTCAGGTGGGACCCTACTGGGCATGTGCAGAACCCAACAGCTGCAGATGACATTTTGATGACATTTGATATCGAAAGGTCAAAGTGCTGTGACATGTCTGCTCGCGCTCGCGCACACACGGGGTCATTTCTTATTTAAAGCCCATAGCATGTGTTTTAAGAGCTCGCTGCTATAGTCACTACCATGATCCCAGTCACAGGGGGAACAGATGAGACACAAATTGTATTTTTGTATTGTAAAGAGTCATTATGTAACTTTTTCTGGTGGACGGTCTTTCACTTGCTTGTCTCCAAGGAGATCTTAAAGGCCCAGAACTAAATTTTTCCCATGTTTCTGCTCAAAATGTGTATTGCCCCAGGGTCAAAATAAGCGTACTTTCTGGATCTAATTTGATTTTGTTTTCTTTTTTTTTTTGTTGTCAAGAAGTGCTTGTTAGCATTTAAAAGTGTTAATGCCACCGCAAAACTCCGCACTGGTCTCTGAGAGTATTGAAAGGTACTGAAAACTCACTGTGAGGTACAATGATCACCCACTAATTTTTGGTTGGTGGTTCTATTCCAGTTCCAGTCAGTGCATACTTACTGTGCTCTTGGGCAAGACACTTCACTAAAATCTGAATACAAACTCACATCATGGGGATTTGCCTCCCTTATAAGAACAAAAATATGGTTTCAATCATCTTAAAGGTCCAGAGATAATAATAAAATGTTGGTGTTGCTCAGGCTGTTTATATGATGACGGTCTGAACAGAAAACGCAAAAGTGGCATCGCGTCTTCACTTTTTATTCCACGTTTAGATGAGTGTTTTCGAGAGGAAATCTGTGTGCAAACAGTGATGCAAAAGTGTGTGGAATTGGATTGGGTATGCTTGTACTTAAAGCATCAGGGGCATCTTTGGACCTACGAAAAAAAAATTCACACCACATATTTTCATCAGCTACTCCTTCCACAAAGTTGTTCCACCATCGTCTGGTTCTTCCAGATTTCGTCCACAGCTGTCTGGCTCAACTGCGACGAACTGGTGCTTCCAGAATTTGACAGAGGTAATTGCAGATACTTCTCTGTTCACTAATAGTATCTCTGTATATTCTGCCAGAGCAGCTTAAAGGTCCGATGCATAGAAATGATCCGACGTAAACGTGTACGTGATCTGAGTAGATCTGACCAGAGTTTTGCGTCTTGGGCAGTGTAGACAGAAATGCTACAACAGAGTGTATTCAACTTTTCCAATCTGGAGGGCGGTTTCAGATTTTGCGTTTTTAAGCCCCAAAAACGCCATCACCGTCTAAACGAAAGGCACTTCCGATAAAATATTTGATCATTTTAACCCGCAAACGTTCTCATGGAAACAGGCCCTCAGTTGGTCAGAGTGTTTGTCCTCTGATTTGAAGATTGGTGGATCGAATCCTGTTCTTGACATAAACATAAATGGGAGAGTGGTCAGATCCACTGCCCCACACGTTGGCGGTGCGAGTTCAGCTCCCACAGATGTATGCTGTTGCTGTGAGGTGGGTTGCCCAAAGACACCCCTAGTACACTGGTGTATGAATGTGTGTATAAATGTGTGAGTGGTTCCTTGATGTAAAGTGCTTTGAATGGAAAGTGGAAAAGTGCTGTATAAAAATGTGACAGTTTACCAATATATTAGGTTAGTGATTTAAAATAATGAATCCTACAAACACCAAACATTGCTTCAAACTGTAATTATTCTAGAACAAAAGTAAAAGTAGCACATCCGTCTGTTTGCGTTCCCTCCTGCGCATACATAGGCCTGTATACTTCTCACTGACTTTATATTTATCTGCCTGTCTGCGGCTGTGACCGAATGCTGCTGCTCTATAGGGACCCTCTCGCTCTGGGTGATGGATGACACCCACGGGTGCTGGAGTGGGTGCACCCCGAGGGCTCTCCACTCTCAGGACCGGGACGCTGTTGTGTATTTTTACTGAGCTCCCCTGACAACGCGGGTTACATCTGTGGTAATTTTTCAACCAAGTTTTGAACACTTTGGGGTTTAGTCATGCCCTCAAATTACACCGTGCTGTATGCAAAGAAATCTAGCTGCTGTAGAGGCAAAAGTTTTTACTTTAGGAAGAAATATCTCAGCTGAATATATAAGTTTTGTTGTTTACTTTTAGCTGTTTGGGGCATAAAAGTTAAATGGGCTGCGTTATCATCTTGTACAATTGAGATACCTATTACAGAGAGGTTTTTAAAGTTAAAGCAAACCCGCTATGCAAAATTGAGTTTTCAGAGGTTTAACTATTTCCCTTCTCATTTCCCCTCACGAAGATGTACTGAAAATTATTTGTGCATGTTTACTCACTTATTTTCTAGACACAGTTTTGCTTATCAACCTCGGTATTCATCGCCACCAGCATATGCCCACCTCTCTGTATTTACTGTGTTCTCCAATTTTATCTTCTTCATCAAGGATACGAGTAGTATACGAGTATGATACAAGTAGGATACAGGTAGGATTCAAGTAAGATACAAATAGGATACAAGTAGGATTCGAGTAGGATACAAGTTGGATCAGGTAGAGAAGTCATTTTGGCACAAATTTAATTTCTACAACAGACAGAAAACTTTTCAGCAGTTTTCTAACACAGATACCTGCTGACTTTATCCCTTATTAAGTTGTTATAGATGAATGTTACAAATTATAACAATGATCCATGGGTGTCCTAGATTGGAACTATACAACACAAGCACAACAACTCTTCTTTGACTCACGCTCTCCTTGGGGTCACAGTGACCTGAAGAAATGTTTTTTTTTTTCCTTCCCACTCGCTTGGGATGGGGTCAAACAGACCCAAAATATGATTTTGTCACCTGGCAAGAATTGATTTGAAAACAATTGACCCGCCCCAAGAGAGCAGGAAGGGAAAAAAAATTCTTCAGGTCACTTAAGGTGTACTTTATTTTGACTGTTTTTTTCTGCATTGTCCCTTCCTTCAATAAAACAGGAAGAGTGGACCACCACAGAGCAATCCCTGGGAAAGTATTTCCAGATCAAGACCTAACTATATTGGAGGAAGATTCTGCCTTATGTGCATGTTCAAGTTTGATTACATACATGATACATCTATCATGATGAATACCTGCTAACTACACATTAAATGTTCCTACCAATTTCTTGCAGTGTGGTGTGAGTGCTAACTACCACAATGCCATATGTCCAGCAGTACAGGTTAGGTTAGAGTTTTTTGTCCCATTTTCTCCTCTGCATTTGACCCGTTCTTCAATGAGCTGGGGCAACCAGTCAGAAGCAGTGGGTAACCACAGGTTTGGGTGAAAAGGGAAACCCAGAGAGCACAGAGAAAATTTGTGAAAAGCACTTATATCATCATGAGGAATAATTAGGATGAGGAATAACTTTGGATCACTGCAAACCAGTTAAGAGTTCACATGCTATTTTAAAATGGTAAAAATCACCTACAGCGCCTTTAAAACCCAAACTTATTTTGTATAAATATTATTTTTGCTCACTCATGCATTTATTTAGTAACGTACAATACAACTTCCTCTTCCTCTTCCTCTTCCGAGCCTCCCTCCCTGCTCTCTCTTGCTTTAAGGGTTAAACTCTGCAGTCAGCTTGTACAAATGGCCTCTATCTGCAGAGCTCTGTGCACATGTGTCACAGCACCACCGCTGCTCCACAACAGCAGGACTTATTAGGGCAGTGTTCTCGGCCCGGGCCACTGTCCATCCATCACACACGCCAGCTTTAATTGTGCCAAAGCTGTGGTTAGATCCAGTAGTCCCGGCTTTACTGGAGACAGCGCTCAGAACTGGAGCTGAAAAATAAAGTGCAGATGGGCCAGCCTGACCCTGCAGTGGGAGACAGCTGTGCGGAGTGAGCTAAGGATGCACAACAAGGGAGGATGTAAAAGGGTTTTCTTCAGACTCCACTTGGGCGCAGGTGTGATGGTTTAAGAGTACTTTTTCACTAATACGTAGTTAAAGGATTTCGATTACGCAAAACTGACTCTTGTGAGCTTCAAGTTAAGTTATAATGTTGTTATCTCCTCAAAAATATATCTGGAGTTGTGTTCCCCCATCTGTATTAAATAATACTGCAATAATTAGAATGTAGTGGCGTCATATGAAACCCAGCAAATAATTTTCTGTACCTGTATCGTGCCCACAGCTGAGTACGCCGCGTAGGAGAACTTCTCACTGGACGCTTCCTTGGCTCTGCCCTGGTCACATGATTCTCCGGTGGGAAGGTAACAATGGAGACTGGAGCGATCCGTGATGGTATTGGGTGCAGAGCCGGGCAAACTCAATAGGACCGTGTGATTGGACAGCTGGACGTCCGTCAAACCGAGCCCCACCCACTGATGATACAGGTACCGGGCCCTGGCTTCTTCACTGGAATCAGACTGGCTGGAGATAGACCTGCAGAAGACAGAAAATATTAAAGAAAATATTTAGAATGTAATAGTTCATTTGCAAAAAAATTTAAATAAATAAAAAACAGAACAGCCAGGAAAACGTCACACTTCTTGAAACATAATCCTGCAACCATGGAGATGTTATCACTCTGCTCAATATCATCCAGCTGCGGACACAAATGGGCGTTCCCCTGTTATGGGCGATCCCGTGTTATGGGCGTTCCCGTGTTATGGCCGTTCCCGTGTTATGGGCGTTCCCGTGTTATGGGCGTTCCCGTGTTATGGGCGTTCCCGTGTTATGGGCGTTCCCGTGTTATGGGCGTTCCCGTGTTATGGCCGTTCCCGTGTTATGGGCGTTCCCGTGTTATGGGCGTTCCCGTGTTATGGGCGTTCCCGTGTTATGGGCGTTCCCCGTGTTATGGGGCGTTCCCGTGTTTATGGGCGTTCCCGTGTTATGGGCGTTCCCCGTGTTATGGGCGTTCCCGTGTTATGGGCGTTCCCGTGTTATGGGCGTTCCCGTGTTATGGTTGTTCCCGTGTTATGGGCGTTCCCGTGTTATGGGCGTTCCCGTGTTATGGGCGTTCCCGTGTTATGGGCGTTCCCGTGTTATGGGCGTTCCCGTGTTATGGGCGTTCCCGTGTTGGTGGGGGCTCCGTTCCTCGTCACTGTCCAACATCCGGCTCTGTCAACATCAACATCCGGATTAACAACTTTCGAAAGTTAAAGTTTTCACAAAGAGACGTTTCAAAATAACATCTAGTTACAGAGTAGACACTACTGATGAAAGCGTAAACGTACATTTTCATTTCGTGATTGTAATTCTCGGCTTCGTAACTTTTCAATTCGTATTCTGATGGATAAAAAAACACTCAATATATTGTATGTACGACTGGACTCATTCGAGAGTTTAGGAATATTTATTTTATGCGTAACTACAGCCAAATATGCACAGATTTCCCAAATACGCACGGATTTCGATTCTATATGCATGAATATTTCTGAAAGCTTTCTTACTCCATAGATTAGCTACTACCAAATGTGTGCCGTTGCTAATGTTAATTTTATCCGGATCCAATATTAAGATGAAACTGCAGCTGTATTAGTGATACAGACAACATAAGAACACTTCTCAGTTAATGTATTTGAAATAAATCGCCAAATTCCTGACATCATGGTCTTTCACCGAAGACAAAGATGGGTCAGTCCGTATGAAATCAGCCATTTTCAAGGAATCTGCCCTATGAGCCATCTCAGATTTGACAGAAAAAATTTCTAAAATCACCAAATGAAAGAACCTCAAATTTTAGCTCAATCCCTTGGACCTCAATTTTTGAGGTCCAAGATTTACTCCAAGCAGATATTTACAAACTAACTGTTGAACCTGAATGAGAGAATGACCATTTCTGACAACAATCTCACACTTTTCAGAGCTTTCATGTGGATGGTGTAGAGCCCCAAATATGATCACAGACCAAATGCGACCTTTTTGGCCCCTTCTTTGGACCCTCAGTTCCCCATATGGGCACAGTTAGATGTTGATCAAATTTTGATTTTACCAAAGAAACTTTAGCATATTCTGATTAGTTTAAAGTAATAAAAAAATCTACTATTAACTTCGTTCATTTCGAAAGGAATTTTTGAAAATGAGCTCTCATGAGCCATAACTCAGGAACGACTCAAGGGATTGAGCTAAAATTTGAGATTCTTTCATTTGGTCATTTTAGAATTTTTAGAAATGTTTTTCAGTCAAATCTGAGATGGCTCATAGGGGAAGGCGGTTGATTTCATATGGATTGACCCAGATGCTCCACTGCCATATGAAAATTCCCAGGCAAATGAGATTATACGCAGTATCCCTGAAACTGCGCGACAAGGAACATCCAGTGGGTGTTCTTGTATCATTACGGAAACGCCCAGGCCACAGCTGGACCCTTCCCACTCTGCTTGGAATATTCCACACTATAGCATTCAACTTTATCTCGCATTTATTCAGTCACAGGTGAGTGGGGAACACACTTGAACATTGCACAAAACGTCCTCTTTATTCTCAAAAGCAAAATAGATTTTCCATTCATTATTGTGTAGTTTTTATTACATTTTCAAAAATATCACTTTGAGAAAATCATTATGGGGACTTTACTAAAAGCTTTGAGTTGTAAATGAATTTGAAACGCTGCAGAAAACTATTCAATGCAATTCTGTTCAATCTGAATGTGAGCTATTAAGCGAGGACAGGCATTCACACACACGGTTAAAGAGTTTTGTTCTCCTGATCCAACCTCATTTTCGTCACGTACTTACTGACGAATAATGTAGCGCTTGAATGTGTTATGGAGAGAAAAGCGTGAGCGTGCCATAGTATACATCTTCCCCATGCTTTTGACCAGATTCCTAAATTCTAAAGCCAATGTTTTTTTCAAATGGGGAGCTAGGATTTGCCTCCAAACATCACAAAATACTTCTATGGAGTATTAACCGCAACATATTTAGATTCAGATGTTAAAAGAGCACTGTAACTTTTTGGTTGGGGTCCGTCACCTGCTTGTTTCTATGGATATGTCATTGATCTGTCTGGAATGTTCCACAGTATGACATTAAACAGCTCCACCTTAACATTTATTACATTACAAATGGTTTTATAGCTCAAAACGCTAAAAAAAACAAACCTATATCATCAGACTGCGGAACATAAATGGGCATTTCTTCCCTAAATACGAACTCCTCCCGTTTTTAGTTTATGTCCCCTTCAGAAAAAAAAAAAAACAAAAACAAAAAGCAAACAAAAATCTATATTGTACTGCCTTCTTCCTTCAGTATTTTCAACACATTAGTGGGTCTACTGCTGTAAGTGCAATTATTTGGATCCAAAAAACTGCATTCCTGACAAATAGTAGTGTTAATGCTCTACTTGGGTTATGTCTGTAAGTACTGTTTAATTGTACAGTTTGAGCAATTCCAGCATCATGTTAAATGTACATAAACAGAATTATTAGGGGTGTAACAATCTCCAAGTCTCAGAATACGATATCTTCACAGTATGAATCTCACGGTATGATATTTTTTGCAATATCGTGGGAAAGATCATGATTAGGGATGTAACAATATCCAAATCTCTCTGTACGATATCTACGATTTTTATTTGCGATTTTTTTGTGGAGGCTAACAAAACTGTTAATATGCTACTTTTTTCTCTTAAAATGCCTTGACAAAACTTAATCCAAAGAACTAAGACTTCAAAGTGCTTAGAACTGTTATTTCTTCTTGTAGTCTGCACTGAAATGCAGCAAAGGATCATGGTCTATGTAGTTCCCTCTATCTTTTTTTTAGCTATTGTTGCACCATAACTCTTAATTTAAGCAAAGAGACTTGTAATTCGATATATTGTGATGGTCCACGATATTATTGTGATTGAGACCTTTGACGATACGATATCACGATATTTCGGTTATTGTTACATCACTAAGAATTATGTTAACAAGTTGATTGATAGACCGCATCGCCGTAGTTCTAAAGCAAGCCAGGCGTTTATGTTTTTGTACTTAGTAGACACATTTATCCAAAGTGTTTCCCAAAATCAACAGGTTATAGTAACTTAGTTATCGGTATCAACAGCTAACATCAAGGCTCATGCTATGCAATCATTAACTAATTTGTTAACTTGGTTGCTTTCATGTCACGGTACGTATTGGAGATCACCTTCTAACATCATTCTGTTGATGTATATTTAACATGACACTAGAATTGCTCACACTGTACAAATAAATTATACTTGCGGACATAACCTCTCACGAAACACACATGCTGCCGCTTTGCTTCGACCATATACCGTATAGACTTCTGCCAAGAAGCAGCGAAAAAGCGAAAGAGTGCAAAACTCTTTCAGATCGGTTGATTACACGCTACAGGAATGTCCTTTAGGGAGTTTCTGCTGCACGTCTGAAACGCCCACGCTGCAGACTGACCCTCCTCAGAAAAAACAGGCATTTCTTACTATGAGCGGGGTCGCCTCTCTGCAGATCTGACCTGTAACCTGGTTTGCATTAGTCTCCATGAAGATAGAAAGGTTTAATACTGTGAAACATTTCAGATAAAGCAATAATATCTCCATGAAAAAAAAAAAGCATTTGACAGACACTCCACCAGAAAAGTTACACAATGCGCCTTTAAGATGTCAAGTAAAACTCAGGTACAGTGACTTTAATCATTCTTAAAAACAATTCTGTAGTTCATGATCCAGACTTGGCCGTTGGCAGGTTTCGATGAATGCTTGAGGCTTTCTGTGTCTTTGGTACAACGGAGTCAATCACTCTTGACAGCAGTGAAATATGTACGTAGATGTAGATAGATGTATTTGAAAATAATAAACATATATCTGATGATTTCGGTTGCGGCCTGACAAGATCAACAAATCCCTTCTCCTGGGTTCATGATTCATAAAGACGTATCTTCAAATATAATATAACATTTGTAAAAAAAAAATCATGACAAGTAATAGAAGTTATACAGAGGTTTCCAAGGCTACATTCAGACTGATTTTTTTGCGAGTTTGTTCACATTTACAATTAAGTGCGATTTGTATATGATCTCCAGTGTGAAATTTAAACTTCCCAAAAGTGTCCCACATGTGCACTGGAGGACACGACGACGTCACACGCAGCGAGTGTGCTCAGTGTTTACGGAAGTAGCCTAAACACTGGGCTTGTCTCCCAAAATACGGTCCAGTTCTTCATAAAAATGGACAGGTTACACGTCCACAGCCGCTTTGTTTGAGTCTTGTATTTGGTTCATAGTTTCTTTTTGTTGACACTGAAGCCAGGACTGCACTTTTTTCTTTGGCAATCATTAAAAAAAAAAAACACCTGGTTCTGATAAGACCCCTCCAATTAGGCCTGAATACAGCAATCCCACCAAATATTAATTAACTCACTAACCTCACTTTCCCTCCATTGACTAGACTCTGGCCGTTCAGACTGAAGTCGCATGTCAAATGATCGGATATGTATC